TGAGGGGGAAGTTGGGCAGCCCTGATGAACCTCTCTGTTGCTGAGCCCCACAGGGGTCCCATCACACACACAAGTTGCCCCTTGCTCCCTTGCGTCACCGCAGTGATGCACCACCCATTTGTCACCCCCAAGATTCTTCTCCAAATCTTGATTTAGAGTTTAACTGCTAGTTCCTCCAGGGAAAAGACAGTAAATAAAGTTTCTAGAACCTTACAAAGTCTGATCAGTCTCCCTTCCTGACCTAGCTTATCATTCTAGAATCTCTCTGAAATGATAAATGGAAACTTATCCTACTTACTTATTGTTATGTAACAAACCACCCCAAAACTTACCGGCTTAAGACAATGTCAACACTTATTTTGCTCATGAATTTGTAATCTGTGTAAGGCTCAGCAAAAACGACCCACCTCTGCTTTACTTGGCCTCTGTTGGGGTGACTGGGGGCTGGAATCATCTGGGGGCTGGCTCCACTCACAGCTGATGCTTGCTGTCAGCTGGGCCTTAGCTGGACTGCTGGCCAGAACCCCTTCATGCGGCCTCTACATATAGCTTGGGCTTCCTCCAACAGTTCCAAGGGTGAGTGTCCCAAGGGAAAGAGTCCCATGGAAGCTGTATGGTGTTTTATGGCCTCACCTCAGAGGTCACACAGCATCATTTTCACTGTGTTCTAGTTATTAGAAGTGAGTTACCGAGGGAATGGAATCAGTCTACCTTTAAATGGGAGAAGTATCAAAGAATTTGCAGACGTGTTTATAAACCACTACAGGCTTGAATGGGATGGACGCTGGTTCATCCACTTAGATGGGTAGAGGATGCGCACCTCATTTTTCCCCTCCTTAAGACTCTTCCTTAGGAATCCAAGAGGAAGGCTCAGCCTGGGGATACAGTGAAGGAAGAGCAGCTATTCAGGCTCTCAAGTTAGACACACTTGGATTTTTTAAAAAAGATTTTATTTATTTATTTGACAGAGGTCACAAGTAGGCAGAGAGGCAGGCAGAGAGAGGGGGAAGCAGGCTCCCTGCTTGAGCAGAGAGCCCAATTCGAGGCTCAATCCCAGGACCCTGGGACCATGACCTGAGCCAAAAACAGAGGCTTTAACCCTTTAACCCTTTGAGCCACCCAGGCGTCCCATACACACACTTGTATTTGAATCCTGGCTCTGCCATTTACCAGCTCTGTGTTCTTGGGTAAGTCACTTAAACTTGGATAAGCCTCCTATTCGTCATCTGTAAAATCACAGTATCCTCTTCATGGGATCATTACAAGGATTAAGTGAGTTAATAATTGGGTTAATAATATATGCTCAGAGCAAGAGCTAGTTCATAGCAAACACTCCATGTTAGCTGTTGCTGATATGATTATTCAATATATGTTTATCAATATTTAACTCATGCTTAGTTGAGTTTGCTAGATGCTATATGCTAGAATTATTTTCATAATTCTAGCATATAGCTAGGGGTTTAAGCTTCCAGGAACCTACAGCTATATGAATAGATGTAGGTATATTCATATATATATATTTTTTTAAGTAATCTTTATACGCAACATAGGGTTTGAACGCATGACTCTGAGATCAAGAGATGTATGCTCCACGGACTGAGCCAGCCAGGCATCCTTGGGATGTGTTTTAAGCATGCAGGCAGAGTCCTGGCTTTGGAGCCAGCCATACCTGATTCTCATTCTGAGTTCGTCCATAGTTTCTAGTTGTGGGACCTTGGACCTATCTTCCACTTTCTCAGCCACAATTTTCTCAGTTGAAAATGAGAATTACGGTAGTACCTATCTCACTGGGTATTGATGAGGATCAAATGAGATAATCTAGGTAAAAAGCTTAGCACAGTTCCTGGAGCACGGTAATTACTTAATATGTGTTAATTATTTATTTCATTTATCAGGAAATAGGCTAATTAATGGAGACATTGCAGTCCCAAGATAAAGAGCGCCATACTGGATGGGGAAACAAGCTGCTAAAGGAGTCGGGCAGGAGATTAACTTTGCCAGGAAGAATCTCAGAAAGCCCTGAGGAGGTAATGTTGGACTGGGCTTTGAAGAATGAGTAAGAGTTTTCTGGCTGAGAACGAGGAAAGAGAAGGCATTCCAGGCAGAGGGAAGAAGATCCACAAAGGCATAAAGTAATAGAAGGTGCTGACATGTTTGGAGGAAGGTGATAAATTCAGTGTGGGAGTTTAAGGTGTGTGGTATGGAGGGAAGAGGGCTGGAAAGCAGAGTTCAGGTCAAAACATTGGCTTATGTGGGAGAAACTGTGAGCTGTCTGTAAGCTGGGGGGATTTGGTAGAGTATGGAGAAAGGCCAGTAGTGGGGCTGGAGAGAGGCTTTATAGGTGGAACAGACAGGCTCAGGGGAACATTTTATGTGACCTGTGGGGGAGGGCAGTGAGGGAAGCAAAGGCCATCTGCTGAAGAGTCAAGGGAAGAGGGCAGGGTTTGAGTGGATGAACAAAGCTATGGGATGGGGAGTCCAAAAATTTGACTCTAAATCTACCTGGTATACTGCTGAGTATCTCTTTGATCTTGAGAGTGTCACACTATATATTTTTTTAATTTTACGATTTTATTTATTCATTTGACAGAGAGAGAGAGAGAGCACAAGCAGGGGGAGCTGCAGGCAGAGGGAGAGGGAGAAGCAGGCTCTCCGTAGAGCAAGGGGAGCTCTATGTGGAACTCGATCCCAGGACCCCAGGATCATGATCTGAGCTGAAGGCAGTAGCTTAACCAACTGAGCTACCCGGGCACCCCAGGGAGTGTCACACTCTTTTGTCCTTAGTTTTCTATTGGTAAATAATACGGCTTCTATCTGCTACACATAATTATTGTGAAAAAGACAAGAGGTAAAGAGTAAGTGCTTTGTAAGCAGTAAATAGTTAAACAAATATCAGACCTTATGTTTTTAGGGAGGCAGTCAGTTGCCTGGAATAGCACAGCTAAAGCAGAGTTTAGGTGAGATGGAAGGTAAGGGTATCTGTTCTACTGTTCAGGGGTGAAGATAAACACAGGAACACACACACACACACACACACACCCCAGACAAGTACAGTAATTTCCACACTGGGACTGGGCTGGGTCTGCAGAAGGGCATGGGAAAATCAATTCCACCACCAGGGACTTTACCAATTGTGCTACAGACACCTTCTCCTCTTAACTTGGATTTAAGTTGGTCCAAAGATCCAAATCTGGAGTCTGGCTAGGCTTCAGGTATCTGGGGAACCATCGATGAGTAAAAGTTATGCTGCTGATTTCTTGGGGGTAGAATTCATAGTCTCCAGCCGACTCTCAGAAGCACCTGTGACACCCTTACCCCTGCCCCCCAAAAGTTAAAGCCATTGATTTTCTCACCAGAAATTGAGAATTTTCTCACCAGAAGGTGATGGATGTTCATTTTTAATTTTTGACTTTTCTGAACTACGTCAGTTTTTGAAACATGAACATGTTTCACTCAACCATGAAATGAAAAGTTTCATTGAAAAAAACTCATTGGGGCGCCTGGGTAGCTCAATTCGTTAAGTATCGGCTTTCAGCTTGGGTCATGATCCCAAGGGTCCTGGGCCCGCTTCTCTCTCTCCCTCTCCCTCTGCCTGCCGCTCCCCCTGCTTTTGCGTGCTCTCTCTCTTTCTCTCTGTGTCAAATAAATAAATAAAACCTTAAAAAAAATAAAGAAAACTCATCAGGGGTTATCTGGATGGTGTCGTAAGAGCCCTGTTTAGATCTCATCTTTATACCGTTTTGTAGTAAACACAATAAACACGAATATCAATAGTTGTTATTTAAAAAAATCCTGATAGGGCGCCTGGGTGGCTCAGTGGGTTAAGCCGCTGCCTTCGGCTCAGGTCATGATCTCAGGGTCCTGGGATCGAGTCCCGCGTCGGGCTCTCTGCTCAGCAGGGAGCCTGCTTCCCTCTCTCTCTCTCTGCCTGCCTCTCTGTCTACTTGTGATCTCTCTCTGTCAAATAAAAAAAAAAAAATCCTGATAGTGTCAGCGGGCACCCCCCCATTTCATTATGCAAGGTACATCCCCTATTTTGTAAGGTAAAATGTCTACATTTCCTATAAACTACTGGCTTCAATGCAGTAAAATTTGCAATCGAAGTAGACTAGACGAAGAGGAAAAAGGCAGGCAATTTCAAGTATTTTCGGCTCAGACTTATAAAAATAATGTGTTTGTCAATCTTCACATGCTTTATCTCTGCCTTTTTGTGAACCCGCCAATATGCGAGCCGTTGGCGTTTGATGCTTGAAGCGACGGAACGGAGAACAGGGTTAAATCCACTACCCTCTCCCCACGCACTCTAGTAATTACTCTATTTCCACGTCATGTTTCCGGGTGTGTGTGTCCCGACTCACGCAGAAACTGAAGTTCAAAGCAGGCGGGAGTCACCCATGTTCTTTTTGCTGTCCCCAGAAACCCAATTCTGGCGCTGGGCCCCTGAGGATCTGGCGATACCTGGGACTGTCTAACTGGTTGATTCCCACGTGGTAAGTGGCCTGCAACCTCGACCCCACGTGGTGCCAAAAGCTGGGAAAAGGGAGAGCAGGCTGAAGCGAGCCGCATCAGGGGCATTTAAAGTGTCCTGACGTCACGCATTGCCAGGAACTCAGCTGAGTTTTCAGCAGGACATTCCGGTCATCTTCCCTCCCTCCCCCCGGGTTTCTGTGCCCAAGGCCGCGGCTCCTCCTCTGCTGTGGCGGAGGGAGGGATACTTAGTGCTCGGAACAGCCAGCACAGGGGCGTTCCCAGCCTACTGTTGTCCCCGCCCTTTCCCCAGAGGCTCTCCTCATTGGCCAGTGGGTGGGGCTTCGGGAGTACAGTACACGCACCAGTGCCTCTGGGCGGCCGGGGAAACTGGCAGTCTCATGAATTATGCAGAAGCGGCGTGTCCCTGCCAAGTTGGGGCTGGGCGGGGATTGGCTGGAGGGGCTGTAATTCAGCGGTTTCCGGAGCTGCCGCGGCGTAGACGGGGTGGGGGGGGGGGGGTCTGGGGTTCCGACGTCGCCACGGAGCGAGCGAGCCCGAACCGGATCCTTGACGAGCACCCCTGCTCCGCGTTCTCTCTCCGCGTCTGCCAGGAGAGGCCCTGCGGCCTGAGGGAGACCCGCCGCCCGCACCCCGGCGCAAGCGCAGCCCCGGTCTATCGGGCCCGAGCCCGAGAAACAGGTGAAGGGGGTGAAGGGTGGGGCCGCCTTCCCCGACTGCCCCCAGGCCTGGGGATCCCGGGGGGGCGCGGGAGGGGCTGGGAGCCTCTGCGGTGTTTGGGGGAGTTGCGGGTGGAAACTTCAGTGGGGCGGGGGAGGGGGCGAATCCGTGGAGACGCCAGGGTTGAACTGAAGGGACAACTCCCGGGATGACAGGAGCGGGCCTCTGAAGGGACAGGGGGCGCTGGAAGGAAGTTTCGTTCTTCGGAGAAAGGGCAGACGCCGAAGAAGAGAGAAAACGGGCTCAAGGGGGAGGACAGTGGGGCGAAAGCACCCAGGGTGGGGGTGGTAGGAGTGAGGGACAGCCCCCCGACTTCCTGCTCCCAGAGGCTCTGGGGACGTTCCGGCAACAGGAGCAACTGTCACGCAGGCAGAGATCACGGGCAGGGGGGTGGGGGTGTTGGAAAGAGCTTTCTCCCCTCTCCCCCGCGGCGCCCGGCTGAGCCAATTCCTCGGCCTTGCCCTGTTCTCTCTCCTAGAGGTAGGAATAGGTGTCTCCCCCCTGCAGCCCCACGGGCTGGTTGGTTGTGGGTAGGATTATTGCATAAGAATCAAGTTTCCTGTAGGGAAATTGACAGTCTTGTACTCTTTTTTAAATTACCTCCCGTCTCCCCCCCCCATACATTAAACCTTGCTTCTCTCCTCCCCTTCTAAAAACAAAACAAAGCAAAATAAAACCTCCATCAAGCCAGTTCTAGAGAGAAATAAACCTCTTTCTTCCTTGACATTGTTCTTTTATAAACACCTGGTAAACTTGGCCAGAAGATAAATAATTGAGCCCTCGCGTTTACTGGATTGTGGTGTTGCTTAATTGCATAGGACAGAATGAACCAATCGAGAGTGGGAGTTTTCTGTCTTAGAGCCAAGATCTTGGGTAAACGCAGAGGGAAACAAAGACAGGCTGGCCTTAGGAAAGCCATGTGTGCAAACTTTACCTGTGATTGGGGGTGTGGTTGGGCTTAAGTTAGCAAAATTCACACCGTCATCCAAGTTGCTTTTTCCATGTTTAGTGCACATCTTTGTGTCTGGTATTGGCACACACTTTTTTTTTTTAAATAAAAATGTACATAATATGTATCTGCTGGTTTTTATCATGTGTGCATCTATAGGCTATATTCTGTGTATGGCTTGTAACTTTTTGGCTGGCTTTGCTGATAAAGCATTGGTTGGAATAAATCAGAACTCTAAATCATCTCAGTCTTCCATATGTGGATTTAGACTGTTACGACTCGATTCAGCCAAATTTCTGTTTTATATTAAATATGTCTGTGTTCCCTGAGTAGACACATTTATTTCCTTGTTACATGTGCCAGACTGGCATACTAGCAGAATTTTTGCTCAGACATTTGCATAGTGGGATGGAGAAAAGAAGTCTGGAATACCGGGGAAAAAAATGAGATATTAGAGGGTTGATCTTAAAGTCTATATATTCGTTAGCATATCCACCACGGAGAACCAATAGCAAATTCACGGATCTTTTCTTTCTGTATATAGTACTTTTGGCAAGAATAACTGTTTAGAAATATCCACGGCTATGACTTGCCCTCCAAAGGGTAGATAGTTCACATGACGTTATCCCCATTTTATAGATAAGAAAACTGAGGCCAAAGGAACAAGGTGCTTGCCCAAGGCAGCAGAATGTCATAGTGGTGGAACTCATACCTTTGGTATGTTTTGTGTTATTTTGTCCTGTCTATGTTAAGTATTAGTTCCTGATTTACAGTGAGTCCGGACCCTGCTAGGAAAAGTGTCTCTGAAATTCTAACATCTCTCTGGACAGTGAAATACTACCATTAGGCTGTTAAGACTCCAACGGAGATAGCCAGTACACGTACAAAAACAAGTAGAAACAGGGTATGCTTAGGTTATTTTTTCATCTGCTGTGTCTAACTTGGGAAGTCACAAACTTTTTAGTTAGTGTAACTTGTCGTCAGAATTTAGCTATTTGCTAATGGAGAGAGAGAAAAATGCAGTTTAATCCAGAGTGCCTTGTGGCTTGATCAGTGATCATTCGTGTCTCTAGAAAGTTGCTTTCTCCTCCCTGGCTCTGGTTCTCTTAACTTCCCAATGTGAGATGGGGCCGAGATAGTGAGCATTCCAGATGCTGAGTCCAGCATCTTTTTTACCTTATGGATTCCCCAGAGGTGTTGTACAGATCAACACACATTTGCCTTTTGTGACTTTGTGAAAGTTGCCATGAAGAATCAGAGGCTTTGTTCACAGGACTTGCAGTCCACTGAGGGGACTTGATAAATGCATTATCCCTGTAGAACAACATGTCCTTAAGGAGGTGCTGAGACCTTAAATCTGTGCCATTCAACGAGGTAGCTGTTACATGTTAAAAGTATCATAGCTGGGGCGCCTGGGTGGCTCAGTGGGTTAAAGGCTCTGCCTTCGGCTCAGGTCATGATCCCAGGCCCAGGGATGGAGCCCCGCATCAGGCTCTCTGCCCTGCAGGAAGCCTGCTTCACCCTCTCCCTCTGCCTGCCTCTCTGCCTACTTGTGATTTGTCTGTGAAATAAATAAATAAAATCTTTAAAAAAACATAAAAGTATCATAGCTATAGAACATTTCCATTGTCCTGGTCTAGGAAGTCTTCTTGCCAAAGGAGAGATTTGATCTGGGTCCCAAATAATAGCTGGAATTTGATAGGTGTAAAGAATCGGGGTTGAGGAGGTATGGTGGTACAGTAGGAACAAAATCCTGGTAGATTAGGAAGGTAAGTAGGGGAGGAGTGTGTACTCATAAGAGGCCTTGAGGCCAGACCATGGAATTTCAGGTTTTGTCCTTTCAAAGATGTGAGAGGCCAAGTATTGGTGTTTAATTGTGGATTGCCTCCTGTGTGTTGGGCACGTGCCTGGCATTGGTTAATTTGTACAAAGTAGATCAGTGCACATGGCATCGTCCCTAGGGGAGTTGTCCTTGGGGCTGAGCTTATAAATTGGGCCAGCACCCAGAGAACTATTCTGACTTAACAGATCTGTGTGTTTAAGTGCAGAAGTGTCTTTTAGGATTTTTGATTGGCTGTAAATGGCCACTTACATTTTATGTCTTCCATATTTAAACAATTCTACGGTAACTTTTGGGTCATTCATAAAAACCACCAAAAGAGCACTTGAAGGATGTCCCCAAATCTTGAAGTCCTGGTTCCTAGAGCAACCTTGGTGAGATCCAGCAGAATGACTTTGCCCAGCCTTTTCACACTTTGTCAGGCATGGTGAAAAGGATTAATATCCCAGTTAATGTTTGTCCCTCAGAACCTCCTTTTACTGTGGTGTACTTTAGTCCGGATGGCCAGATGGTACTTTGGTGGTCAGTTGTTTGAAATGTCTCTAGTTCTTAAAAGGAGCAGCATGTGGAATAATGAATTTCTATTCCGCTCAGTTCTCATTATGTTAGGATTGTCACAACTCTTAGATCAGGCCGGCAAACATTTTATTTAATTTTGTTTTGTTTTAATTACTTAATTGTTGGCAGACATTTTATACTGAGAGCCAATTACTGTGGTTGGTGGTATCCAAGGGTAATGAAATATGCTTCCTATTTTCACGGATCTAGAGGTGTGATGCAGACCAGGGTGTGTGTTGCTTTAGTATGGAAACAGGGCAGGGGAGATGACAGGATAAGAGGTTCACATCTGATGCTCTGGAGTCAGACAAGTCTGGGATCAGATCTTGGATCTGCTACTTCCGCCTCAGAGCCTGAGTCTCAGTTTCTTATCTGTAAAGGTAGAGGGTAGCAGGGCCTATCTCCTAGAACTGTTGAAGATGCAATGAGAAAATACAGGTAAAAAGCTTAGCATAATGCCTGGCACACAATAAGAACTCCATAAATGTAAGTTCTTATTAAATGTCCCAGAAAAGAGATTTCATTCTCTTTAGGGCTGAGAAAAAGGCTTTATGACCAAGGGTCTTTATCAGGTCAGAACACCTATGAAAAGGGTCTTTATCAGGTCGGAACACCTGTGTTTTGTAGGTCTGAATAGGAGTTCTCCTGATGACGTTGAGTGGTGAACGTTGCATTCAAGGCCAGGGAACATGAATGTGCAGAGGCTTAAAAACAGCAGAGAGTGTCCGGGGAGCTACAAGTGTAGGTTCTTAATTTAGGAGGACTGAACTGAGGGGAGAGGAAGCTGCTGAGCTGTGGCTCTTCCCCCTTCTTTTCTGTTCCTTATTGGGTTCACATGTCATCAAAACTAAGTAGTTTGGTCCTGCTTACAAAAGAAATATATGCTATTACAAAATATTTAAATTTGTAGAACTATAAGCTGTATGTATTATATATATATATGTATGTACATATATATATCCTGTTAATATTTGTATTAATGGTTAATGGTGTGTGTATTTTCAGATTTTTGCACCTTTTTCTACTTACCAGTTTAACTTGGACTTTTTTTTTTAAGATTTTATTTATTTATTTGACAGAGATCACAAGTAGGCAGAGAGGCAGGCGGTGGGGGGGGCGGGGGGGAGCGGTGAGCAGGCTCCCCGCTGAGCAGAGAGCGGGATGCGGGGCTCCATCCTAGAACCCTGGGATCATGACCCGAGCTGAAGGCAGAGGCTTAACCCACTGAGCCACCCAGGTGCCCCAACTTGGACATATTTATGGCAAATTTCTTTCTAATAGCCTAATAAAAAAACAATAAGGAAGGCAAATCTACCCCCCAAAATACGATAAGGTTTGGATTATCTGGGTTTTCTTTCTGCTACCCCCACCCATAAGAATAAATGACTCTTCTAATCACTGAACTTTTGCCTGACCTTTGGCTTGCTTTATAACTCCATTGGACAAGGAACTTATTTTGAGCATTCCTAAGGTAACACTGTACTGTCGAAATGCTTGGGCCATGTGTTTGAGGGTCTCATGAGCCAAAGCTGCTATGGGAAGTAAAAGAATGGACTGTGAGGTCAGACTCCTTGGGCTTTAATCCCGAATCCAGCGCCTCTTAGACCTTGCAAG